TCCGCCATTGTTGAGCGGCGGCCTGATCTTCAGTGGGCGAGCCAGGGACGAAGGGGACGAACCCACGCCCTCCAAAAACCGGCCGCATGAAGGCGTCGTCGAATCTTCGCCAATAATGGTGTACGGAATGGGTGGGGATTCTGAGGAGCAGCCGCAGAGGAGACGCGACGGCGCCGTTTCGGTCATCGGAGAGGAGTGGGACAGTGAAGGATTTGGGGGATGATGGTTCGGAAGAGAGCATGCTCATCGAATATTTCGGTTGGGGAAGCAAAACCCCAATCAACGGTTTCGTCATCATTCCGAAAACCTGAAAAGAAATTTAAAAAAATTTAAAAAAAAGAAAGAAAAGAAAATCACTGGACCAGAAATATATTAATAATTATATACGCTTACTCTATGTAACTTAAAAGAATTAAAAACAGTAAAAATTTAATTCCTATAGTTTAAAATTTGTAATAATTTAGTTTCTACCGTRAAAAATCTWATTAAAATTAAGTGTTGATTTTTATCATATAACAATTTAACTTTTGTAATTTACAAACACATTTAGTCTCTTATCAGTTTATCTATCTACATATATAAGAAATTTAACAAAAATTTTCACGACGGAGACTAAATCRTTGCAAACTTTAAACTACAAAGATTAAATTGCTACATACTAAAATTTAGGAGTTAAATTGTTATCAATTTGAAAGTATAGGGGTTAAATGCTTACAAACTAAAATTGAAAATAAAATTGTTAATTCAATGGGAGTACAGAAACCAAAAATATTTTTTTAACCTAGAAATTTTTACTAATTTTTTTTAATGCGTTTACTTTAATTTGTCAATTTCTACTTTATGTAAGAGAGACGGGTCTTACTAAAATTTTTAAGCCACAAAAAATATACTACATCATAATGTTAATCTAAATTTTAGGATACAAAAATAGATCCATTTCAAATTCACGGCCTAAGTTTATTACTTCCCCAACAAATATCTCAATTTAAAATTAATCCACCACATAAATCTTTCAATCAATATGTCATACAAGCATAAATTGGAACTAAGAGTTAACCAAAAATAAAATAAATTAAAAGACATTTTAGAATTTTCTTAAATTAGTAAACAAATAGGCAAACCTTGAAAACACATAAAATTAWTAGAAACTTTTTTTAAATGCAAAAACTAGATAGACACATCTTTGGAAGTTCAAACTTAATTTAACCAAAATATTATTAACTTTCTGTATTTATTCAAATATAAAATAATTGTTGTTTTTGTTAATGGGAACTGGGAAGTTACATATTTTATGKTATTATTTAAAATTTTAAATCATATTATTTGCATAAAAGATTTAAACTTGTACAAAATTATATTATTTAGAGGGAGAGAGAGGCTGACCACGGTGCTGGAAAGAACAACTGTGATGGTACTGGTGATCATGATTGCATTGCCTGGTAAATGGGTGTGGCCTGACCTGGTAAACTGCATTTATTTAAACACAAAATAATTTGTTAAAAATTTTCTATTGTAAATGTACATTGGCCCCACGTAAAAAGAAATGACATTATTAATTTTGTTTAAACAAAAGACAAGAAAACAAAAGTTGAAAATTATAGTTCAAAAGCTTCCACTCCCACTCACGCTAGCTCACTTTATTATGTTATCATAGAAGGAATCTAAAAAGAGAGCCAASTATATTACAAAGTTTCAAAAAGTATTTTAACCCCTGTTCTGTACATTTAAAAAGTGATAAGTTTGATCTTAATTTACAAAATTCAAACACAAATTTTATACATCAGTGAAACTGTTTGATATAAATTGATGGTTACATTTCAAGAAATTTAATAAGTGAAGTGTCATGTTAAAATTAATGGAAGAAAATGAAATAGAAATGCTAAAATTAAGTTCGAAGAAATGAGATAGAAATTAAAATGAATGGACCAAAATGGTCACTTTTTAAAAAAAGGAAAATACTTGCCTCCTCAACAATCAGGAGGAACTTTYTCGTTATTAAATGTTTGAAAACTAGGGGAGAGAAATGCAAAAACATAAACTTTTTATAAATAATAACGAATGGTCAAATATTTAGTAATGAGGAGGATAAAACTCCTCATTGTTGAGGATGCAAATATTTTCTTTTTTAAAAAATACAAAGATCAAAATACACGTTTGGACAATACAGAGACTATAATAAATAAATAAAAGTTAGAAAATACATGGATCCAAAGGAATATTTTGAAAATAAAAAAGAACAAAATTAAAAAAGTACTGAACTAAAATAATATTCAAACCAAAGACAAATGTTCCAAAAAAAAATATAACAATAAAGAATTAATATACGAAGTAATATACAGAACATTGGTAGCTGGTTTAGCAAACCTGATTATATGCAAGCGCCATTGATACAGCACCACGCATGAGACCAGCCCACCAAATAGTGACCTGCAAAAAGAGAATTTTGCGAAGATATAACGCATAAGTTGACTCAAAACAAGAGATCCAAATTCAACAAGAGAAGCTGACAAATTAAAAGCCGTACTTGTTGTTCCAAGTTTAGTTTCTCGTGCGAAGATTTCTTGGTCAGATTGGACAAGAATGATAAAGGAAAAACGAAGGCTGCTCTTCCAACGACAACCAATCCCAACAGTATAGAGCTCACCCCAATTGATTTCCCAGGACTAAAAGGAAAAAAAAGGATAACTAAAAACGACTCCGATCGACCAATATTGTTAATTAAAAATGACATACTACATGACATATAGAGGTGAGCATCTAAACAGAACAAAATAGCACTTGCAATATATCCTCTTTTTGAAGTAAGATATTAAATTTTTGTGTGTCGTGTCAAATCAGACTATAATTTTCCAATAAATATGTCATGTTATCATATATTATGAAATTATATGGATGACTACCTATGGCTAACAAATCTCCACTTCTCGATATCAAGAGTATCCATGCCAACGTAGAGAAAGATGAAGATCTCGGCAACGAAAGAAAGGGTGGCAAAAGCATGCCTGCAGTAATGTGCAATAAGAATTGAAATGTCAGCTGAAATATGGAAATTTGTTAGGAAAAAAAAAAGAACAAATGAAATATTCTTTCAAGTAATTGACTTACTTTGTTGTCACTCTTGAACTTTCAGTCACGTTATGCCATGTATAATGAGACATAACAATACCGCAAAAGAATACAGTGAGAATTGCACTTAAATAGAAGAGCTGCAATAAGAATCGACTTCAAATACCATAAAAGAAAACAAAAACAAARAAAGATATAAAGAAGGAAGAAAAGTGTGACAGAATTTGAAGCGTCTTACTTCAGCTAACATATAAGAGAAGTACGCCATGAGTATCATAAGAGCAACCTCACGATCAGTAGAATGCCTGTTTTCCATAAAAGAAACAAATATAATAGCATCAACAAAAAAATGTTATATGAAAAATATTAAAGAAACGAAGAGAAATATATCCCAACTTTAAATTTCGTATCAGTAATAGTTGTGGGAAATAAATATTGAAGAAGTTAAATTAACCAACCTGCCAAAGTAGAGCTTCTTAATTATATATGCGCTAAGCAGGCCGACCTGCAAATATTGGGTTAGGACCATGTCATGATTTTATGGATAATTTCGGCAACAAAGAGCATATCAATAGGAGTTGGAGAAACTTACTAAAATTCCCAGCACAGTACTTGCAATAAACAGATACAAAAAATTTCCAATGAATTGCAGCACAATGCTTGAATTCATGTGAGAAAGATCAAAGTTCTGGATTGCATTGAATAGCACCACCGATGTGGCATCATTAACTACTCCCTCCCCAAAAACCAGGCTATACAAAAGAGGGGTCTCATCCTGATTAAGAACCTGCAGCAACAAACAGAAATATTTAAGCTTAATTAAGATGAGGAATTAACAAAAGAATCCAACTTAAGAATTTGTTGCAAACCTGTAAAGTGCAAACAGAGTCTGTTGCAGAAAATATTGCTCCAATAGCTATGACCAATAAGGTGAAAAACAGACGAATAAAATAATCAGCATCGTTGGACTAAATTCACAAAAGAAAAAGAATTAATTTGGAGCATACCTAGATAATCTCCAAGATCAAGGGAACCGATATTCATTTTCTGGAAGAAGTGCAAAGCACCTACTCAGTAAGGAAAGAAAGCAATTATTAGTATTTGAGGCCAAAAACTCAAAAGATACGTAAATGGAAGACAGCCCATAAACAACACAAGGAAAAGAAGGCTTCATAAACTTGTTGAAAATATCCTAAATATTAAGTTTACTCCATCTCAACAGCTTTAAGTTTTTTGGTCCTAAATTAATATTCTAGATTAAACTTCTATGGTTTGGCCTCCAAGGATTTTTGTGCTTTGTAAATAGGAGCTGGGAGTATGAACTTTGTTGTAGACAGTGAGCAAAGCAAGTAAGGTGAGTGTGGAAAAGAGAGTGTTCTCTCGTCGATAAAACCGAACCAATATATAGTTTCTTGACTAACGTATTATTTTCCTAAGTGCTCTTCTCATATTTCTTTGTTCCTTCTACAAAATATACCTGATTTGTGATATCTTTACAAACTTTTCAATACATGTGAGGCTTAAGGGGCAAGAAAAAAAGAACTTGGTACAGATTATACCYAATGATATAATACAGAAGGATATGAGAGTGCCAAAAGCACCAAAAAGCACGATTGTCATGATGTTGCGGAAAAATTGCTTCTTCTTCACCTGGAACCTGGAGAAAGAAAAGCAGGTCATATTTACTTATTTAAGGGCCGGTAATATGGTAATCACCAAAGTTGTGGTAATTTATCTGTTTCCTCGGTTCATTTGTGTCACTGAAAGTGCGAGAATAGAAACACTCATCTGAAGGTAAACAGCACAATTTTTCCTCAGATAATAAACTAGTGAGAAGCTAAATGTAATCATGTCAAATTGTGGTTTAAAATGATCAAATTGCATAGATTATGAAACTTTCTCAGGTGTTCAATGATAAGAGCAATATGGCATAATCGAGCACTTGATGACTTCCACAAACAAATGGCATGATTACAAAGTATGCTTCTCTATCTCCTAATTCATGATCACGAGAATACTGAATGCATATAAACTATTGTTTTATGAACTCACAGAAGTTGAAAGAAAAAGTGAGAATTTAATCCAAAACATGATGATGGTGATACATATAATTAAGCTAGACAACCAAACCATTTATTGGAAAATTAGGAGGAAAGAAAATACCACACTCACCCGGCATTGAAAATGATGGGCGGAAGGAGATAAATAAAGAAAAGCTCTCCATTGAACATAAATAAATGGGAGCTTTTCCCTCTGGTTGTTAGCAATATTATGATGCCGGTACACAATCCCTGCCATGATCTCCACTATTCAGATTCTAGATTGGATTTCAAATGAATTCGTAGTTAAGGATGAATTAGAACACTATGAGCTCACAATAACAAGGGCTGTAATGGACTCGTTGATCCATCGATTCTCCTCCAATAAGTGACCGACAACAATACAACCGCAAAGAAGAGCTACGAATAAGTTTAAAGAAACCACCGAAGAATGATCCGCTACCAACTCCATCCCAAAATCCACTATCGACGAGCCTGATTCAACGATCACTTTAGGCGCCATAACTATTCGAAATCCTGCTTTTCAAGTTCGCTTTAATTGACAGCTCGAGGATGATTTTGGTGAACACGCATTTGATGCTTCGAGCAAAATCTGCTRAAAGAAGCACTATAACAAAAAATTTCAGAGTAACATTCTGAGAAATCTGGATTTTATTTCTGCAATACAATGTTTGCGATTCTGACGAGAAAGGAGGATTTTAAGGATACGAATCTATCGGTTTTCACTTCTCCATGGCCATTACAAAATCTTGACATAAAACTAAGATGTCGTAACGGTCCAAATCTCAAGAAAAACTCGCAATCAGAATCTAACATAACTTCTCTTTCTTTTCCATCAGCTTTCTCTTCAAGCAAACAGAGAAATGACCAATACAGTTCGACAGTTTAAAGTACCATGCCACTACGTAAAGGGAAATGAAATAGAAAATGCATATACAGTTGCAACAAGCTCATGAATCTAGAGTAATGGAAACTGAATTAACCAGTGAAAAATCTCACTCACCAGGAACCGGAAATCAACCGCATAAACTGGCGAAACTCTGCAGCCGATTTCAGAGCTTCGAACAAGAACATCCGGCTCAGAGAAAACGCATTGATTCAAGCAAAATGAACGAAAAAGAGAGGGAATTGAGGAGACGATAATGGAGGGAATTGGAGCAGAGTGCTCCTCTTTGTTTACGTTTTTGGATTTGACGAAACAAAAGCGAGGGAATGAGAATGGGGAAGGCCACGACTGAAAGATGTTTATATACGGCTGAGTAGCGAAGTTTAAACTTCGGAGGAATCTGGACCGTCCGTTGCGAGAGGGTGATGACGATCGTGATTAGATCGAGGGCTGAGATTATCTGCTACGATGGGTCTGTTTGTATTCTACAGTTTCCAGAAGATGGCACTTTTTTTGGAATGGAAAGGGAGGGAGAGAATGTGGGAAACAACGTGGGACCCACATGTATCATTTTGTCGTATGTGGAATCTTCCCTCACAAATGGAGATTTCCCTTTTTTCTTTTTATTTGTTTTCTTTATACGAATATATATATTTAGCTCGTACATTTCCATTTTTCAATTTAATATTGGAAAAAGTGTTAAAGATATTTAATTTAATAAAGTAATATGAAAATATTTTTAGCTTAAATTACATTTTAGACTTCCACTTTCATGTTTATAATATTTTAACTAATAAATTTTAAAATATTTTGTTTTGTGTTTTCTTCTTTCTTGTTTATACTATTTTAACGAATAAATTTTAAAATATTTTCTTTTGTGTTTTCTTAATTTTACRAACTATTTTAGTTTCTGAACATCATTAATCTTTTTTTTTTCTTAACATGGATAATAGTTAATTCTTAGTCTTTTTTATTATTTTTCTTTATATAAAATTTTTTAGTACGGGATGGGGATCGAACTTAAAACCTCTTGGATATAGATATATAACAATCACCGTTGAGCTATACTCGTTTTACAAAGTTAATGAGCTAAATCCTTGTCCCCTTTATATTATATTAAAAAAGTATATATACTTATCTCCGACTTATCTTTGACTAATAGGCTAATAGRCTGTGATTTCAAATCTCCACCTCACTTATTATACTAAAAAGGATATATACGCCGTTTCTAAATTACATAAACAAACACTAAATAGTTCTTTAATATTTCTATACTTTTAGAATTGAATATTTAATTTTTTTTATTGTATGTGTATGTATATTTGTTATAAATAATATTTATATGATTAATTTATTTAGAACTATTATCACGTCAATATATAAACATATATTATTTTAAAAAATTATAAAATAATGTATCTCCAATAATTTGTGTCCAACATTTTTATAAATTTACATATCGTCATGTTCGTGTCCTGTCTTATCTATGTTTCTACTTCTTAGTTGCTAGTATCCACAAATCAATCCGGACACAGTAGTTGCTAGTATCCACAAATCAATCCGGAAGTTGTGTCCGATTTGCTGATTAATACACCAATTTAGTCAGATTTGGTTGGTTTTTCGGCTTTGGATGTTCACTCCTAGTCTTGATCGATSGGTTGGTAATACTAACTAAATTAGTGTATATATTGAGTGAGTTATTTTATCGAACACATGGTGTGCACTATGCTCATCATCACATATGCATGTAAACTTTTGGTTCCCTGATCTGATCTCSACCGTTCAATTGAATCTGCAACTCAAAATTTGGGTTTAAAGAAGACGTAGTTTATTGTATGAGCGGCCGATTTGAGCCCTTGTTTCATTTTCCTAATCCTGCATTCATTAGGTTTCCCACTTTAAAAATTGTGGTCGGGATGGGAAATTTTGTACGGCTTTTTTCTTACATGAATAATGAATTGTTTGATCCCATACCAATTTATGTAGTGGTATATATATGTGTGTGAAAGTTGTCATTGTCCACGGTATATAGAATTAGAATTGTTATAATTAATTATTAATGCATGAAAATGACCAATTCTCTGCAAAGCACGAACTCGAGTATAGTCAATGTATGCGACAGAACCTGCACAAAGAGAGGCAAATGATCTGCCACTCAAGTCCGTCTTGATCTCATCCGTATTCAATGTGAGGATAATTTCGCCTACTCGTATAATGAGGTGGGAATCTCTATTTATAGAGGTTGAGTTTTCTGACATAATTTGAGGAGCGGTTATGATCGTCTCGTAAATCACGACGCCTTTACYAGAGAAACGATTTTTGACTTGTGACAAATAGTATGCACATCCCTTACGAGGGTGAGCTATTGAGATCCTTATTGGTCGGCTCAATTTTTAAGAAATTTCAGACGACCAATAACACATTAACGTCGACTCATTCTTTAAGAGGTTTCGAGACGTTTATTCTACTTTCACATACTTAGTATCCAGTAGCACCTTCCAACCTACAAAGTACTGACATGTGACGTGTAACTCTACCTTCAACAATGTCTACAGGGGTTTGACTAATAAGCATATACCTGCGTTGTTTGATAAATTTAAAAAGAAAAAAAAAAACCTTGGTCAGATTAGGAAAGTATGTGTATACGGTCGTTAATGAGGTTGCCAAGTATGTGTATACGGTCGTTAATGAGGTTGCCAAGTATGTGTATACGGTCGTTAATGAGGTTGCCATATTGTATAACACAGGCTTGAATCCAAGACTTTGATTAATTCACACTCACAAATAATATATTATTTTGTTTAGAATGCGATTAAAGTCTCACCTTAGTTAAATAAAGGGAATATTATAAAAATATATAGGTAAGAGACAACATCTATATTGATATGAGATATTAATGGGTAAAACAAAAAACAAAACTACGATGGCTAAACAATAACTGACTTATGAATGTAACATCTCAATTTCAGGATTCAACAAACTCAAAAGTGTGTAAGTAACTGTAGATAATATTGAAATAAAACTTAGAAAAGTTACTTGCAAAAAAGGAAAGAAAACAAAATAATTATTTTATAGACTATATGCGGTCATTCAAATTATCACACAAAAGTACTTGTGATTCCTTAAATTTAATTTCAATATTAATTGAGTAGCGAATGAATTTTGCTCGAGTGACCATAAATAATTTCAAAAGAACGTCTAATTAGAAATAAAAGCTACAAAATCACAACATTCGAATGCAAAATARTGACTAATGAAAATTCTAAAATTATGTCGTATCTTATCACAAACTTATGAGATAGAAAAAATATATATACCTTATATCCAACATGTTCCCCAAATGCTACCCATTCAAATCCCAAGTAAAATCACGAAGAGAAAACATATCTTATCTCCAAACAAAACATAAATCTACCAAAGTTAAAGTGGAGGAAGAAATGAAGCAAACAAGAATTTAACTAAAGCAATGCAAAATATATATGTACAATACTGAAGTGTTTTATAGGTTAACATTAATTATCATTAAAACTTCATAATTTTGTCAATTACCAGTGAACTATACTCTTTTTACACATAAAACTTCATAATTTTTAAAGAATATAAAATTAAATATATGTTTATATCTAAAAAATGAGTGTCCATGGATAAGCGTTTGGGTTTGGACGAGGAATTGGCTGTCGTGTTTATGCGGATCGGCGAGCAATCGGCGATCCAAAGCAAATCTCCACGTCCAGGCCGGCAAGCCCTGATTTTATGACTCAGCCATCCCCGACAAAAGCCTGTTCAAAATCCCGATTTTTTAACCGAATAATTGCGATTGAGCGCGACATTTAAGCGGCAATTTGAGTCGCACGAGTCAATCTTAGCGCCCCTTTAATCACTCTTGTTTCTTTTTTTCTTCTTAATTTTAAATCGGATACGCTGCGGCCGTGTRCAGATCTGCAAGCCCCTCCCCACCGTTGATCTGAACGCCACCTAGCGATTGAGTCCCGTGTGATCGTTTCATGAGCTGCCACGTTGCAGAGGAATGGTGGAAGTGGGCCAGGGTCTGTTTCCTTGGTGGTTTTGCTTCGCCAGCCGCTCGCGTGGGTTCGTTATATGATCTTGCCCACCAAGTCTTTCGCATTTACCCTTTTTTTTTCTTTTTTTTTTATTTTATAATTTATAATACTTTTTTTAATGGAATGTGGGGTCCACTGCCGTCGAAAAACGTGGACCCAGTGAGTTTCCTTCATGTTTTGGTTCGTTGAACACTAAACTGGTGGGGTCCATATAAACATTTTGGCATCGTAGATTTTGCGTTATAATTTATACGTTAGAAAATAAATTTTTATTATTATTATTTTTTTTTAGTACAACCTAAGAAGCACGGATGCATACACGAGACACGGATATGGTAATAAATTATTTTATAAAAATTTAGAACAAAGATACGGCAATGATACGTTTATTAAAATATACAAATTTTTTTAAAGAAATTCAAAGTCAATAATCTTATACGTTTTTATGTATAAGAAATGAGTTTGATGCATTCTACTCTCAATGTTTATTAATTTGCCCTACATTACTATTTATATCTCTTTCTTATGCTTAATAAGTGTTCGACATGTAAAATACTGAACCATGTTCATGTTGGCGAAAATAAAATTATTTATTTTTTATTATTATTATGTTTTCTTAGAATATTTACATTATAATTATGTCTTCAATATACTTGTGTGTGAAATATTTAATGGCAACTTATATATTAAAATAAATATATATATCTTTTATCAATTTACCTTGATATAAAAATATAATTTGAATATAACTTAATGACTAAATGCATCTCTACTTATAGTAGTTCGTGTTGCTCATAATACAGTATTATAAAAAACATGGGAATATCAGTGTTATGAATTGAGTGCAATAAAATAAAATGTAAGTTTTGTGTCATTATAGTAAGTAGAAAGTGTTAATGTAATTCTAAATTTAACTTGTATGGAATTAATATGAGAATGTAAAATTATTTTTTGTGAGCATTTGCGTCAATAATTTGGAAATATACTACATGGATTTGGATTTTATAGCTAAAAAATACAGTTACATGTGTTTTTATCAAAATATTAAAATCTCCGAGAACATTCAAAGATAATTAAGGATCCCGCAAAACAAGGAATTAGCACTTCGAAACTCTTGTCAGTACAGGATTGTAGAGAGTAAATTTCAAATCAAGATATTTGCACACCTCTTTTCTTTATCTCTTACATATTTATTTGAAATAGGAGATAACCGTTGGAGTAGTATACAGAATTCAATAGTTATTTCCATGATT